CCCCCCCACCTTCACGCTAATTCACAAAGAAGGCTAATCTTACGTAAAGAGCCCTTCTGGACTTTTCTTACTAAACAGAACCAACATGACCAGTTACAAGGTGATGCGATCATATTGTTGCATAAACAGGGTCTTTTAGAATCCCTTTCTTGGAAAAAAAGAAGTCATGAAACTGATATGTAGTACCCAAGGTGAAAAACATAAACATTGCCAAGAACGTCCTTGATTCTTCACAAAAGACACACCAAAAGAGATGCCCCTCCCTATAGTCCCCACCTATACGTACACACATGGGCAACAGTTAGGTTACTAGTATCACCACACGAAATTGTGTGTACTAACATTGTAGGTATACCGTACACCATACATTACCACATGATTTTATTTCTTGATTCTAACCCCAACTCACGTGTGTAGAAGACTGTAAGTGCACAATACGCACACCGACTTACCTGTCAAAGTTGCTGTGTCTCTGATACTGTCCAAAACGCCTTTAACCTTCACAAACCCGGTGCTGTTATGAAAATAAAACAAGCGCTAGTCTCCAACACAACCCCTTCTCTGAGGAGATAGTCTGCTTTTGTAAAGGGGACGTAAGACAAGGAGCGAGTCCCATGTCAATTTGCATACCGTGTGGGGAAATGGTCCGACCTGTTTGCCGCTGGTAATAGGCGTCGATTTGTCGTCATGACGACGTCCACAGGTGTTTGTCTCTGTGTACGTTCACCTGTACGTCATAGCAGACGAATTTGACTCTGATGCTCTGTAAGTAATACCGTTCATCCATAAATCTACGTAATTATACCCTTGGGATTCTATGCTGACCTAGTGTAGTAAATATTTCCATTCATACGGACTGAAGTAGAACTGTGTCTACTTGAAGAAGGGGCGCCTCCGAGGATTCCGTCATTGTTCTCATTGTTTTTTCCCCGTCCCTCTCACAAATAGTCTAATTTGCATAACATGACACCCAGTGGCACTCCTACATCTACGTCACTTCAGGACTTCATATGTTGAGAGTTTGACGACGACTTCAGAAGTGTGTGAGACACGCCTACGTATTGGACAAGCTGCTACCCCCAAGTGGGAACAACGTTTTCATCGACCAACCAACATGGGCCAGAGGAAGTCTAAAATCGAGGCAAAGCCGGTCAACCCTAAACTCTTCCAACGTCTCTCCACTAGGAACTTGTTGTTTGACAACGTTGGAGAAGAGAAGTATTCGGACTATGATTTTCCCTTTGAGAACCTGGTGTTTGAGGGAGGTGGCACGCGGGGACTGGCATATGTTGGTGCCGTAAGGGTGAGTACTAGTACCCCGTCTTACATTTCACAAAACTATGTAGATGTCAGAACGATTAGCGTCAACAATACGGGCAGAATAGTAGTATCTAACTTAATTTAGTATCTCCACGTGTATTGTATGAAAGGAATGTAAGTCTAGAGTGTTGGGTACTCATACAAGAGATGGTATCATATCCAAAACAAACATATCGCTACGATGACAAATTTTCAGACAATTATGCAAATCATTGCCATCTGAGCGACCTGGCGGGCATAATTCTTTCCACCCACAATGTTTGGCGGCCCTGAAAATTGAAGGTGTCGAACTATGAAAACATAATTTATGATTGCGTGTGTAACACTAACCAAGGACAGTGTCCTTGCACAACCCTATGATTAAAATCCAACGTCTCGCTATGAAAAATTAATATTGTGGGCGTGTTTCAATGTTCTAGACCACTACGGTACATACATCTAAGTCAGCAAAAAAAATAGGCTAATAACTTTTACCTTGACACGTAAGGCTTTACAAAGTGAAGATAAATATAGTAGTCAATTATAGTCGTTTGAAACTAAATGACTAAAATAGGTAGTGACACATATAGTAACAGCCCCACCTAACACATCAATAGCAACCTCAAAATATTTGTAGCTATATTTTTCTTCAATTATTAATCGAATGGTTAATAATAGGTTTAAATAATAAATCTAGTACAACTGAACAGTGAGTTACATGGCAACTTCAGTTTCAATTGTTTAATTAATAAGGTGTGTTTAACACCATCTGTTGTCGAATATACAGAAAGGAGAAACACTCGCGTGATATTTCAAGCATCTATTATTAAAACACTTACCTCACATATAACAAAGGGGCGGAAACGCGTCTATGACAACATAACAATCACAAATTCACATGAACATAACCCTGAACTCCCTAGCGTATGCTTTATCAACATCTATATTGTACCTTGTTGCTGTAACGACGGCATAAGAATAACATGTGTGACTAGAACATTGTGTAAGATACCAAACGTAACAGTTGACCATATGGTGAAACACACACTATACCGTACTTACCGTAGACTGTAATCCTCTCACAGACACTTGATAGTGTGTTAGTGGAAGAAGTTTTCTTAGCAAGTCGCTCTAGACACTTGACATTGTGCTAGCATAGTAACCTTTTTACTATCCTTCATAACAACAGTTGGGAGTGTGGAGTCAGACGTTTTGTCTGGTTACTCAACGTTGACTTTGGCTCTCCTTTCACATAATAGACTCTACTAATAACACACGAGAAACTCTACACTACCAATGATTAAAGTCGCGGATGTTTTCTTTATTTACCACGTAGGGTATGGTCGCGATACAGGTTGGTAGTTAGTGGATAGAATTAAAAAAAAAAAAACTTCCCGTGGTAAATTCTCGGAAGTGCAATATTAGACTATTCACACCTACTTGTTTGATCTTAATTACGTCATAATTAGCTTAACACCACGTCCGCTTTAAGTGTTGATATACTTTAAGGAAGTTCTTTCTTGTATGGGAACCGTACGGATACTTAGGGACAATTTTTTATCCGAAATTTTGAGTAAAACTTTTTCTATGTTGCCAGAATTTCGCCAAATAGTAGCAGAGCGAGCATTTACTTAAAAGCTCAACGTAGACCTCTTAATTTGTTTACCCTAGCTGGGACAACTATGCCCTGTGTGCTCATGCACGCTTGACCAAATGTTATGCTCGACGAACCGAGTGTTTCGCAACAAAGTCTCTTTAAAAATGCAGTGTTCAAAGACACAAATTCTTCAAGTGCCAAGCCTCTGTGCCAATATATTTCTCTTTGCTATGGCGTGGTCTTTTGTTGGTTTAGATCTTGTCTTTGTGGATAAAGACCTTAGCGAGAAGTCAAGCCGAATCCTTTTGTTTGGTGAGAAAATGGTTGCCCTTGCAGCTTGAGACTCTATTTTCCTGTGACATGCTTTGTATACATGGAGGGTATAATCACGTCTAAAAGTGGTCCATAGTTATCCTTGCAACTACGGATTAAAAATGTCACATACTTAGGCATTAAAGGTGCAATTTCTGGGTGGCAAGACTGATTTTTTAAAGTCAATTTTCTGGTAATTCTTTTTATGTAGCGAGTTGAATCAACCCTATCCCATAGCATACTGATATCTGTGAGACAAAAATGCGACGATGCTGAGAAAAGGTCGCTTGTTTTGTATCGTAGGACGGTTCTAGCTAATTATGGGTGGTACCCAAAAATAAGGAGCTTGTTTGGGGGCTATTTCAACGCATAGAGTCTGAAATAAGGACGAAAATGTGCTAAAAATTGTAGTAGATGTCAATATCAGACAGAATTCTTCAGCCAGAATATTTCTTTTAGTTTTGCCACCCTAAAATTGCACTGGACGTATTTAAAAGCCTCCCCCCTCCAAGAAAAAGGGCGGTTTTACATTTCCAGTTCGGCCGCCTGGCATGACAGAATGTACCGCTGAAGTCACGGTGGCGAGGCGATCGTCTCACAACGACGCGACACAGACTATTACTAGTAATACAGAGGGTCTGTTATAGTCTACGAAGAAAGAAGCATATTGTCCCACACCGATACAGCCAAGAGAGCCACAAAAGACCAGTCATTTAGTCCAAAACCACCTTACGTTTATCATAACCACAAATTCGGTACCTGGGATTACATATTGCTATTTGGGGAGTAGACATTACTGTGACCAGCGACTGTGCTGGACTTCAAAGCCATATATTTTAAAGGACTGTTCGTGAACTCAAATCTTCTGACCGCTTGTCAATGTGCATGTGATAGTTTAAAGGCCACAAATCACTAAATTCCCATTGTTTTGAGCATCGCGCTTCTAGGATTGTGTAACAAATACAAGGCCATACAACGTAACACGGCACGACGTAAAACAGGAGTTGACAAAAGTGTGTATAGAAATACAGACATATCAGTTTCAAGGTTTTCACCAAAATTGTTTTCACAGCATGAGGCACAGAATTCGAAGGACAACTTTCTGCAGCGGAAGCCTCCTTAAGGCATGACCACAGCAGGGGTCTAGTATTCTTCCCGAAAAATTTTACATCTATAACTCTTTGATGCACTATTTCCTGCACATTTTCAAAGCCATGTTTTTCTTTTGCTATAGCTTCATTCTGAAGTCAATTTAAGAAGATTTAGAAGGGTTACAAGGTTCTCCCCAAAGGAAACACCCATACGCTGGTTGAAAGACAGTATAGGGGGTTAAATCGCAGAGTAGAGGGCCACTACACCCAGACAGCCTAGTAAGAACCCTGGATTTGCATCTTACAACAGAGCAAACCACGCAATGTTAAGACGTACAAAAAATAACGTAGCAAGAGTTACGTTCCAACTAAGAAAAGTAAAGATACGAGCGACAGAGCCAATATATGGTAAATAGCTCAAGATGTCACTGAGAAGGTTATTGACGGTATAAACAAGTTAACCTCGACTGTGTTTGTGGCCAAACTAGTCAGTCATAACACAACTGCTTTTGGATAAGCACAAAATGCAGAAAAACAGATTAGATTTCTCCGTTAGTTTTCAGTTACCATGGTACTATGATAAAGGCATCTGGACATTGACCGAACTTGTGTATAATAGTTTTAATATATTATACCTAATCGTAATGTGCGAAGTTCATTCAATATATTGCTTCGTCCAATTTGGTTGTCTTTTCAGACGTTATAAGAAATGGCGTAGATTATCTATGTTGATTATATACATCTTTATATCTGTAGATAATTATCAATTGTCATTGAGAAGGTTATTGACGGTATAAACAAGTCATCCTCGACTGTGTTTGTGGTCAAACCAGTCAGTCATAATGCTACTGCTTTTGGATAAGCAGAGAATGTAGAAAAATAGATTAGATTTCTCCGTTAGTTTTCAGTTACCATAGTGGTACTTAATCTTAAAGGCATCTCGTGAGTTATCACAAAATTATCACTGAAAACGTACATAATTTCAGTGATAATTTTGAATAATAGTCACAAAAACTATCAGTGATGATTTTTGTATGAATGATAATTTTAGATAATCTCACGATAATTTTTAGTGATTATTTTCATCATTTTACATAATCTTCAGGATAATCACTGATAATTTTCTGTCCTGTCCAGGTACTGGAAGAAGCGGGTGTTATGAGAAAAGTGAAGCGGTTCGCAGGAGCCAGCGCGGGCGCCATGATGGCCGCCATGTTAGCTCTCGGCTTCAACTCACAGGAGATCGAAGACTTCCTACAAGTCGACCTTAGCAAGGAAATACTAGGTAAGTACTAGTTTTATGCACAAAAGTATCATGATCTCTAGTAAACAATTATCTCAAGTATATATGAAACTACATGTAGAGTTCCACGACCTCATACCTTCGCCGAATAATGTTTGACGAATTTTTAAGAATTCTGAATGTTTCTCATAGTTTATGAAAACAAGATCCTCATTTGCATGGATTTTGTCAGTTGATGACCTCTACCTAGTGACAGTCTTATCTTAAAAGAGGGTTATTCTACATTATGCAAATGAGGTCCTGATTTGAATAAGTTAGGTTTAGTGAATTTGCCTTCACTTAACTATGGAATTATACCATTTCTTCATCAACTATACAACTAAACCTTCATTTGCATAACCAAGATCTGCCGATGTTCCTCTTTTCACAGCTGACAAAAGGTGATGGGATACAAGAATGCTGTCTGTTGTAATCTTTTTGTAGCCACTTTGTCATTTTCTTGGATCAGAAATGTTATCAATGCAGTGACGATTGATGCTCAAACATGTACATCAATACCTTTTTAGCTAAAGCACATATAAGTTTCCCCCCAACATGCCTTACTGAGCTCTTATGTCAGCATCTGAATTCAGACACCAGCTTACTGATTACTGCTTGCTTTTCAAGCGCCACCACTTTGCTCTCTTTTTGCTGTGAAGAAAGGGAGGAATTTGTATCAATTGCCACCTCCTGAGTGACATTTTGCGGTACAGTTGTAACCAATACACCCAATGGGTCACGTCTGATCAGTTCTTGCCGACATGTTACGGTTATCAGATTAACAATGAGGGGAGGGCAAAGAAAGAAAGTGGTGGGTTATTTGTGTTGACGTCGTTGTTTTGTTTTTGCATTGTGTTGAAGGCACTTAGTACCCGAGTGATGTTAAGACTATGCACACAAACATATAGGTAACCTTTAAAATATGCCCGGTGGAGGGAATTTCAAACATTGGGCGGGGTTGGTAGTCAATAGATGACATGAAAAATATGTGAGTGGGATGTTTAGAAAGTTGTGATCATCACTGTATACATGTTGTCAAGGGGATAGACGTTTGAATTCCGCGAGTGTCATATATTGTTCCCTGTCACAGTGACATGCAGTTTGACATAGAATATAGGCTTCCAAACGTCGTTTAACATTTAAGATGAATGAATGACCTTTATTGTACGCACATGTTTTAAGTTTAGGACACAACTAAAAACATACAGAGAACGTTACGTACATCCATTATCAAGTATCCATGATATACAACTAAGAGAATTCAACTTCTCGCTTCTTATGTAGCAACATAAAAAAGGAAGAACAGTTGCAATACCGCAAATACCGTTCTTCAAAGTAGGTGGAGTTGAGCAGTCTATAGGACCTTAGTTTGAAACTAAAGCGACGGTCACAACCCGCCGTACGTGCTTTTTGTCCGTACGTTTTTTGGGAGGCTGCGTCTGCTACGTTTTTTCTGAAAACGTGGGGAAGGAGTGGCATCGACGCACGTCACTTGCACGTCACTCGCACGGTTTCGCAAGGTGTAATAGTGTGGTCTGCACGCTACGTCTGGCCGTGAGCGGTTGCGTGCATCATACGTTGCGCAAGTGGTAAGTGAGTTGTACGTGCTTACAACGTACGACCTCTGTGCGATTGCAACTTTACCGTAAGGAGGCCGTACTCACACGTGCGTCTTTCGTACGGTACGTACGGGGCACGCGCGTCGCTCGTACTCGCACGCACGGTGGTGAATCCGTAGACCGCACGCAGAAAAGGTTTTACATGCACTTTAAGTTCTACGGCGTGTCTGCGTGCTCCCAAACCCGTAGGATTCCGTACGGAGGCGGTACCACGCACGGATGCCCTGCGTTTGTCCACGTTTTTGCACGTAGACAGCACGCAGAAGCACGTACGGCGGGTTGTGACCGTCGCTTAACGGAAGATGTCTTTTCGTTTCAGATCACTCCTGTGGCTACTGTAGTCTTCTCCCGAACATACTGAAAGGATACGGATGGAATCCTGGGCACGGGCTGATGGCGTGGTTTGGGAAAATGTTACAAGAACACACCGGGAACCCTGACCTGACGTTTTTAGATGTAAGTATCATCTTTGTTTTACATTAAAGGGGCATTATGTAACATTTTCGAACAAAATATTGAAAAATTTTATTTAAAAATCTTCCTGTGATTGTAATTTACTTCCAACTTTCAACATATTTGTGTATCTCATATTTCTGACATTTATATGGTTGGTACTAAAACAGCCCACACGAGGCACACTCAATTTGTGGTACCACCACAAACTACCATAATGTAAACAAACTGACAGCTTTTCGTGCTTCCAGCGTTTTTTTTGCACTTCCTGAATGGCATTTATTTGCAATGGCAAAGGGTTGATTATATTTCAGTCATACCATGGTGTGGCTGAAATATTTGTTATTTCAGCCCATTTTGTTTCACATAACCATATTGCCATCTGTGTTGCCGTCAGATGTACAAGATGTTCGGTGTGGAGTTGTGTATCGTCGTCACGAACGTGAATCAGATGGCTGAGGAGTACTGTCACGCCAAGACCACACCCGACATGCCGATCAGACTCGCCATCAGAATGTCTATGTCATTACCAGGTAAACTCTCTTCTGTTGTATTAGCCATAAACTTGATTATTGGGTGAATGAAGATATTTATGTTTACCGAAGGAAAACATATTGTTTTTGCTACGTTTCCTCTTCTTCCGTTCCAAACACTGACCTCCGACCTGGCCAATGACCTGATTTGTTGACGTCTCAACATAGTAACAGTTGTTGGGTTACAAAATGTTGCAATTTCATAGTAGGAGGGATTTATACTTCTGTCTGACCATATATATGAATGTGTTTGAGTAAGAATTAACAGAGCAGACCATATGTGAAGGTAAACATTATGTATTTGCTTTGCAAATGTTATCTTTCTAGTTTGTTGTATAATTCCACAAACGTGGTTAACTCATTAATGAATCAAAAGATTTGTGTTGCAACCTAAAGTTTTAAATCATCATTTGACCAATCGCTTGTGCCATTTAGGTATATTCCAGGCGGTTGAACACAAGCACAAAGACTACAGCTACCAAGACTACTACATAGACGGCGGCCTGTTGGTCAACTATCCCATTCACTGCTTCGACGGTAAGACAATTTTATACATTTTCTACACGTTACATCTTTGTTGACACAAGCCATGAGTACAGTACAGAACTTGCCATCATGTCAAAATACATGTTTTAATTTAAATCTTTTTGGGGAAAAAATCCATTTACTTGTATGTCAATAGGTTAGTAAGTACATTTTTGCCTAAAAGTAGATCTAATAAAAGGGTTCTAATCTTAGGCGTGGTTAAGAACAATTGTTTGAACCCCGTGGGAATGATGTAGTTGTATAAGAACATCGACGACGTACGAGAGGACGTTGACCTCTGCAGCTGGGGCGGAAATGGCCAACAGAATCTTCATTTTAAAAAGAATAAATAAATAAACCAGTTACAGTTATACGATTAGCCATTTCGGAAATGGCACAATATTATATGGTTCCTAGTAGATCATTTGGAGTGCTTATGATATATAGGATTTTAATTACACTATCTATAATCACTCGTTGGGAGCGGCACAATTATTGTCACGGTATGAATTGTCGCCATAGAGATGCTTGTAAACAGTGCAGAAAGCATCCCAATTACAATAGAGTTAACTTTTATCAACCTTAGCTTCGGGCTGTGGTATCAAAACGCCATCAATCAGTGTGTGAGGGTTAAGGGATAATTACACAGGCTTAGTTACACAAGCTGACTTTAGATCTGGGTGCAATGACCTGCCTACAGCCCGACTGGAACGTACAATAAGGATTTACTAGAAGCCCCGTCTCCCTTGTCTATGCCCTATTTATTGTGCAATGTATGAACAAGATTTACATGGTACAACGTATACGTATTGGAAAAGCTATTGAACAAAGTACAGAAAAAGTATACAGTAAACGTTAACTCTTGAGTGAGTGCATAAGTGCATGAGTGAGTGAGTGAGTGAGTGAGTGAGTGAGTGAGTGAGTGAGTGGGTGAGTGAGTGAGTGAGTGAATGAGAGTGAATGAGAGAGTGAATGAGTGAGTGAATGGGTGAGTGATTGATTGAGTGAGAGCGAATGAGTGAGTGAATGAGTGAGTGAGTGAATGAGTGCGTGAATGAGTGAGTGACTGAGTGAGTGGGTGACTGAGTGAGTGAGTGAATGAGTGAGTGAATGAGTGAGTGATTACTAAAACAACAAGGGCTAACATAATTCTTTGATATATCGTTACAATAGAATGAGGCTAATCATTTGTTCTGTAGTATTTCTAATAATAAGTACAAGTCTATAACAGTCATTAATTTCATCACAAGTCATTAATATCATCAGAACTTATATGGCCATTAATTTTTTGGTCCACTGTTCTGTAGGTTGGTGGCTGTCCATGGACAACAAGGATGCCTTCATCAATAGGCTATTCCCGCTGGACAAACTCGCTCAACTTTTCGAGAAGACAGAAAGATTCGGAACGCACAACCCGAAGTCACTGGGGATGGTCTTGGTAAGTGAATTGTTCTGTCAACAATGATATCAATTATAGTACAATGGTTATGTTTTGATTAAAGGCACCCAATGCAGTTAGGACTTGGAAATCCGATTTTTCCAAGTCAATAGTCTTGTCATATATGTACATACAGAGTTTAAACCACACTATCCCAATATATATTGACCCTCTTAGAGCAAGAATACTCAAATTTCTGACGGAAAATGGTTACTGGAAGGGCCCTGGGCTGATTGTTATAAAATAATAGACTTATCATGGGCCTTGTTTCTGCAGTTTTAAATGTACAAAGTATGAAATACTAATTGAAATGTGCTAATGTGGGACAGTATGTACATACTTCTAACTTGACTTCCTTTTCTTTGTTTCAGTTCAGTACGTTTGATGTGGAGTTTATGCACACAGAACTGTCCAAGAGGTTAGGCGACAAAAAGCCAGTCAGACCGAAAACAAAACTCTCAAAGTAAGGCATGATATCATATCATGATTGACTATCTATCTATCTATCTATCTATCTATCTATCTATCTATCTATCTATCTATCTATCTATCTATCTATCTATCTATCTATCTATCTATCTATCTATCTATCTATCTATCTATCTATCTATCTATCTATCTATCTATCTATCTATCTATCTATCTCTATCTATCTAAAGTTTCATCTATCTTTCTATCTCTCCATATATCTATCTAATAGTTTTCATAGAAACTATTGAGTAGATGGGTTTATGTGTAATTGCTATATGTCATTCCCTTAACACTTCATGTATCTATATATTTCTAACACAGACAACGTACGAAGAAGCAGCACGAAATGAACGAGGCAGCGCGGAACCACGACATCGTGCACAGGGCAGTCAACAACTTCCTCACCGTGCTGGCAGAGAATAACACCAACCGGGATGACAAGATAGAGATGAGGGAACTGGAACAAGTCTTCAAGAAGGTATTGTCTCAAGGCGGATTTTATGAAAAATATTTTATGTTTATTACGTTTACCAAAGGAAAACATGTTGTTAAGTTTTGCTCAGTTTCCTCTTCTTCTTCTCCAAACACTAACCTCTGACCTGGCCAATGACCTGATTTGTTGACGCCTGTCACCATGGTAACTGGTGTTGGGTTACATCATGTTGCAATTTCATAGCAGGAGGGATTTAGACTCCTGTCTGACCATTTTTATGTTCAAACTAACAATAAACAATATATCGTGCTTGTGTTTGTGTTTGTGTTTATTGGTTCGCATATATTTAATAACAATAAAATGAACATAATACTGACAGTAAAATAAAATGCTGGGGAAAGATATGAAGCCATAGTGGCTTGTCTGGGATCTTTCCCCGACAAAATTAATTAACAACTGAAATAATGCTAACAAATCAAATGATAATAATAAATAACAATAGGTAATTAATAAATTTGATCAATATGATCAAAATGATAATAGTAACAAAACAAATAGTAACATGAATAACAAAAGTGATTGCTAAATAACGCTGATTAGAAATGATATGTTAAAAACTATAACTTTAACGTTAACAGAACTTTAACTGCAATACAGACATTGGCAGAATTGAAGCAATTACTCAAGAAAATAAATGAATTTTAAAGAGAAACGGAAATTCAAACTTATACAGATGAAATCAAAGTAATAAGAAATCAAATGTCGGTGGGAAAGAAAAGTAGGTGATTTTTAAGATTTCGTTTAAAGCTAATTATTGATGTTAAACATTTTAGGTGGAGCGGGAGATTATTCCAAGTTGTTATACATTTATATTTTACACTCATTTGGGCTACGGACGTTCTAACTAGGGGGATATGGAAATGGGCACTTTGTCGAGTTTGGTAAGTATGAAAATGGGAATTAAGATTTGTTTGAATTCCTTTTGTAAGTAAAGGTAAAAAATCGTGTACGTTGCTCTAACACCTCATATGATGTCATGTCAACGTTTATGGCACAACGATTGCATCAGGTACAATGTATGGCAAATAACATGGATTATCACCCCATGGTTACAGATGAGCCAGCCGGGTGCTCGCTTCACACAAGAGGACGCTGCAGTTCTGTTCGGAGACAGCGTGGATCCTATTGAAGTATTCGCCGGTCTGGACAAAGATAACAGCGGCTATGTAAGTTAAACTTTGAATTTTTACCTTCGCCAAGAAGATTATTATATTTTCCGTAGCGTTTGTGTACAGTTTAGCACGATAACTCAAGAAGCTTTGGATGGATTATTATGTTGGTAGGCAGGTAGGTCTTGATGAGACTTGGAAAAGATTACATTTTGGGCCCCCTGGCGGCTTGTTATGGTACATCAGTACTTTTGATGTCTCATGAGCTGGACAATAGTTTGGGCCCCCTTGCAGCTTGTTCTGTAACTGCAGGACAGTTCGTTTGAAAATCTTCGAGCGAGGATAACTCAAGAACCAGTGAAAGGGTTGTCGTCATTTTTATTACGTAGGTAGCTTATATGATGCTTGACACAAACATTATGCAAATCAGGACGTAATTTGCATAGTTAATGAGTATGACTATACTTTCTTTGTTACATATGAGTTTTGTTCTGTCAATCCTCAGATCACACACCAGGAACTGGTGGCGTTCTTGGAAGAGAGAGGGTTTAACTTCTTCACACAGTTCCTGGGGTACAAGCGGCGGCCCATCAACTCACTAGGCGGCTTCCTGGAGACCATCATAGAGGCTGTCATGATCTACATCAAGAGAGTCTACATCGGGGTGAGTTTCACATCTTATATTTTTGTCCGAGAAAAAGTAGATATCTAGGTGTAAATTAAATGCCATTGTGAATAGGAGGTGAAGAGTGCAATACAAATTTATCTACAATTGAATACATGGGCATGTCGTCTACACAGTGATATCATTTCCCCTGCAGTCTTCTAAATGAAGAAAATATGTCAATATTGTAGAAGATAATTGATAAGAAAGGAGAGGGTAATTTTATTGTGCACAACGAGAGAAATATCATATGTATACAATATTAATTTCCTAGTTTTAGATATTAGATAGCAAAGTAAAATTCATATTCCCCATGCAACTAGATGAACCATATATTGTAAGCTCCACCTGTTCTTACACCCACACTTTATATTGATGACAGGAAAAAGATGTGCACCGAACAATCGGCATAGACACGGACTATCTCCCGGGTACCGACTGGAAGATGGAATCAGATGATAAAAAGTTTCTAATTTCGGTAAGTCTGGAATAAAATATAACATAAAATACATACATTATAACTACTATTTGCGTTCACTTCCAACTACTAACATTTGCCATAACTGTGTGCCTTCGATCCTCTGTGGTGTACGTGACATCAGGCCACAGTTCGCTGTTTTCGCAACACAGAAACGATGCCTATCTCTTATCTCTCTGTACCTGTCTAGTCTGGGTATTGTCAACCCACAAAATACCTACACCCGGGGGTCACTGAACTGTCGAAGCGTACAGAGATAAGATACCGATATTGTTCAGCCACTGGATATCTTCAAAAGGACAGGGATTCACCCGGTTATTCATACTTAAGAGCCCGCTTAAGAGGAAGCTTTGTGCAAGTGTTTGTAATTGTAAACTACTAGACTGGATGTAATGGGTTTGTAGCGAATGAAAGGGATCTACGTATGTCAGAGTGTTGATATAGATTTCTAACGTTATCATGTGGCGTAAATATCAGAGTGTTCGGGTCGGAACCAAGAGGTCCCGGGTTCGATCCCCTGACATGGACGATGCTGTGCCCTTTGGAAAGGCACTTACACGAATGCCTGTATGAATGACTAGAAAAGGGGGATAGACTATGACTTTGAAGGATCGGAAACCCTTCAATTCCACATGCTTGGCTACATTGTACACTAAACTCTTCTAGCTCCTTGAGGATATGTTCAGCACAATTACACCAACAGCTTGAGCTTGTTTTCTATACGAAACGTCCTTCGCCTTTCCGTATTAGAAACCCTTTAACCCCCATAAACAACCCCTTTAAACGTTTTCCATCGTGTGTGTCCTTATAGACTTGTTTTGTGCAACTACATAGTGTTCGAATAGCCACCTACGTCGATTCAATTGTGCAGACCAACCGAATTATATATCTTCGACATTTCTTCGAAGCAACGTCTTTTAACTTAGATGTAACTAGAATTCCCTAAGTTTGTTTTTACCTTTCTCTAAATAGTAACACACTTTGTTGAGTGATTGCTTAAGACTTTGAGACCTACCTACGTCAAAGCTATTTTGGAAAGCAATTTGATTAACACATCAAAGCATACGGAATACAACGTTTCTTTTTTTGTTGTTCATGATTGGGATATTTCTGTACGCCGATGACGCACTCCCCCATATTAGTTCGTAACTTTATACTTATTTAACCCAACTGACTTAATCTCTGCGCACCTGTGGCTTTTTTCTAATGGGTTTAACATACGCACTTACGCGCAATGACGTGTTGTTTGTGTCAGAGTGACGTGTAACGATTATCAAATACACCACACTCCTTTACAATTGTTATCAAACATTAGTCAGCACTTATAAAGCTCAACATGTGACATGGCGACGACACAAAAAATGCATTTGTCTGTTCATTTTTGTCGATAGGAAGTAAGTTAAATCATCCCTGCTCCACTCCAAATAGGTGCCATTAAAGAAGTGGAGGTCCCAAAATATGAAGCCTTACGGGTGTGTTTATAAGTTCGAAAACACAGCTGTTAGCCATTATTGTTTACACTGTGGTAGGATGTTGCAACATAAACAATATTGAGAATTTAAAATAACATATATAGGCATCAGAGTATTGTTGAAACGTATTCATGTAGACAGTAGACTTCCTTCGCATCAATCATTTCTGACATGAGGTAATCTGTCTTAAGACGAGATAATTCTACTTCCTACAAAATTAAGGTATCTGCTTACTTGTTCAATCAAGCCACAGTGATGCTGTGTTCGGTTCGGTGTAATGTAGTCAGCTGCCGCCGCGCCGCGTGCCTTCGAAGCTGGTGTGTGTTTAATCACGCGGAGGGGCGGTTACACAGGCTATACAGATACAGGTCAGCTGAGGAAGAAACTAATGAAAAAGTTAATAGCATTTCTCGGCTTATCAAACAGCAAAAGAAGCCTCCCACATATTGGATTTATACTTGTCTGCCATGTGTACGAACCAGTGTTTGAAACATCCCACGGAATAAGCTGTGAGTCACGGAGTTTAAAGTTAGCCAACAGCTTATCTATAGGTCCTGTGGAGAATCACGTCCGTAAACAGATGTGTTCTTTGGATAGTGAAGCAAATTTGGAAAGTTAAACATGACACACTTCAAGGATAAGTACTGCGGCCAACAACGTAGACAGGTCGTAGACGTACTGGGTGTTCCCGAAAAATACTACGCGTGCCCCAACGGACAAGTCAATACCGCAGTACGTAATATAGGCTACCTGTACACGAGAGATTAGGGCCACGCCTACCTTTCAATACAAGTCGGAACGAATTCGAGTGAAATTTGAGTCAAATTTCTGTCCAAATCTATCACTGCACTGTGTCACTGTAATCTTATTTATGCTTTGTCACCATGACATGTACTTTATGCTTTGTCACTACGACCTGTACTTTAAAGACTCTATATACTTTAACGTATATAGAGTCTATAGACGCAAAATAAATCTCTTTCATTTAATCATTGATGTATTATTCTTCACATATATAGCAAGGAGAAAGGGCTGCGAAGGCGTATCTGCGGGAGTGGGTGAAGGTACACAAGCTGAGCAAAATAACAGAGCCCGACCTGAACGACATCACCGAGGAGGCTGAGACCCAGTCTAACACGGAGAGTAACTTGGCCCAGAGGAACCAGCGTAGCGCGTCCTCACAATCCCGGTCTACGTCATTTGTAAGTGTGGCTAGCAGTGACTGAAATGACGATGAATAACTAAGAAAAATTCTAGTGAAAAAATAAACTGATCTCCAAGTCAAAGAAAAAATCAAACTGTTCTCTAAGTCAAAATACATTTTGCGAGAGGAGTGAAGGAAGCAATCTACATCAGGGCATACCAAGCTTCGCTAAACCGGGAGGGGGGCGGTACCGACTTCCGATGAACTTTGACCCAGTGTTGACGTCACACGCGGGAAAAATACCACGTGTTTACAGACCCTGCGACGAAAAGTTGATGAAGACTGAGAAATTTTGGTTGAAAATTCCGATGAGTCAAATTGCTTCGAGAACAGTTTAATTTTTCACTATGTAAATTAACAACTCAGATTAACTTTATAGCTATTAGTAAGTACTACTGTCATAATGTTCAGAGAAGTACATAGCTTTTAGAAAGCTCCGGTTTGCTAACAGCGGAATTATTTTGTACAGTAAGTTACTCATAAAGGAAAATACTTCTTGTAAATCTTGATTTATTTATTGCACTGGAATAAAACAGAGGTTTTGACAGCTATACTTTCTTTTTACCGATGAAGATCCCTGAATAGCGATTGAAACGTCTGTAATTTCTTTTTTCCAGTGTATTGGTAAAATCACCATTATTAGATATATTGTATAGTGTTCTCTTTGTTGTTAGACTTTGAATGCACGTTTAACTTAATATCTACCTTTTGTAAGTTATCAGACTAAAGACAGTGTCAAGATATAGAACAAGCACACAAGTTACAATATAAGATAGCACTGAGACGTGTTTCTTATGTAAAAACCAATCCCTACAGATTCAGAATTGATATTACTCTAACTAAAATATATTTAGTTTCATGCTCTTGTAATATCTAGCTATTTACAAATGTTGCATGGGAGTGTTCTGAAACATCGATACTTAAAATCTAAGCTATGGATTTTTTAAACTAACTAACTTTACTCCATGCGAACTTTTAAATGTATATGTATATTCAAAGCTGTATATAATGTATTGCCAAGATTTTCATGTATGAATACTGGGTCAAACGTATTTTACATGGGCGTATGACCCTTTGTAGGGGTGGTGCAATAATAACCGAGTTTCATGTGAAAATTTAAAGTTGTTATCCACTTAATGAACCTTATATTAGTGCCGTGTATGTGTATGATATTTTTAATGTGCTGTTACACAAACAGGTTTTGACGTTTTGGTCTCATAGATATACAACCCTACGCTTGGTTGCATTTTACACTACAAATACTATTAAATTTTGCTTTTAGTTATATATTAGTAAGTAGTAAAAACACGTCGACACGTTTTTGCCATTCAGTTTTGAACGCAAAAGACCGTATAAGTCTTACTCAGAGATTGTACGATAAGTGTGCCCATATTTAAGGTTCCATCAAATGGATGGTATATGTATATATACTAATATAGAACCCAAACTGAGTAACACTCCACGTGGACCTAAGGAAAATATTGTGTTGATATATGTATACGTATTGCGTTATAATTTGTCGTATTTTTGTTTGCTAAAGGTTATAATACATTTGATAGTCTTTATTTCTATGTATCAGTTTCATAAAGTGAAAATTCTACACGTTTTGCACTTCATTGCATGAAAAAAGAGAAATGTTAAAAGCATTATTGTTGTTTTCGCTGCACATGTAAAGCTATGGAAGTAAATTACACCAACAGACTTTTGTAGGTTTAGCTAACTACAGACGAGCCTCATATGTCAGTTTGAGGTAGATTTCTATATTTCAATGAGTGTGATAGAAAAAAAAAGTTACTGTAAATGTTTAACCCGGAATATGTGATATTGCTGGAATGCTTTATGTGTATCCAGTTTGGAAATAGTTACAACAGCAATGGAAACAACCGTTTGGAAATAAAGATTTTTGTTTGTGAAATCGTCGTTGTCACTTAATTAGTTAACAGATGGTGATAGTTACAATAATGGTAGATAGAGAAGGGCGCCTGTGGGACACAAATACAATGTCGCTGGCGAAAAACGGTAGCTTTTGTATCGGCAAAAATGTGCTTAGAAATGGCAGTAAATGTCAATATCAGATAGATTTCTTTACCTTTAATTTTTCGTCGCCCCGTGAATGCATTGAATGCATTTAACATATACGTGATACTGAGTGTATGAAGTTGCGATATTTCAAACGCTCCACGTATGAAGTGATGCAAATTGCTTAAAGATAGCAGTAAAGGTCAATGTTGCACGGATTTCCTCATTAAGAATATGTTTTTTTTTTTTGCTTTGCCACACTGAAAATGCATTGAATGCTTTTAAAGCAGCTAGTCAAATGATTTAGAATGTTTGAATGTTGCATGTTGTGTGTGTAGCTCAGGCTACGTTAGTATTTGACCACCACACCTTCAATTCATTGAGTATTAGATGCATGTCATGCCCAAGTACATCAGAAATACATTGAATGCCTTTAAGGCAGATAGTCAAATGATTGAAATGTTTGAATGTTGTGTGTAGCTCAGGCTACGTTAGTATTTGACCACCACACCTTCAATCCATTGAGTATTAGATGCATGTCATGCCCAAGTACATCAGAAATACATTGAATGCCTTTAAGGCAGATAGTCAAATGATTGAAATGTTTGAATGTTGTGTTTGTAGCTCAGGCTACGTTGTTAGTATTTGACCACCACACCTTTAATCCATTGAGTATAAAATGCATGTCATTCCCAACTACGTCAGAAATACATGGGATGCCTTTAACAGGTACGTAATCTTGGGCGTAAGAAGTCGACGCCCTCTGTTCACATAGCTTAGGTCATCCTTGACCTTCAAAGAACAACACGGGACTTCAAGTGTTTGTCCGCCGGGTCGATCGCTGAAAGATACCCCGGTGTGTATGTACATACCAGACGGACAGTACAGATCCTGACTCGACAACCTTCACGCACCATTTCCAGATCTAGTTCTTTAGGCCATGTTGATATGGATGACATCCGCGCGCGCATTAGTATTTACTTTTCGTCAGTTTCCAACAACAAAAAGTTTCGATCTTACGGTCAATCGTACAAAGCAGCTGTAAAATGAGCAATATATGCCGAAAATTGAAAAAAAGGAAAACAATTTATAGTAATGCCGTAGAATGCCAAAATGATTGCAAAGGAAAACAAGAAAATGAGAAGAAATGAAAATGAAGAGTCTATTATTTAAAAGTAGCATTAGTAGTATTATTCTGGTCATTTTTACTGTTTACTATTATTCTATTAAGTCCTGTGATCTTACAATAAGTCTACAGCATGAATCTACAATAAATTTTCAATAATTCGGCATACCACACTCTGTGTGTTCAGTCATTTGTTCAACCTTCAAGACCACGTAGATTTCATAATGAAGGCAACTTTTCTTTCCAACCGTTTTCACTCGCACGCTCGCAAGTTTTGAAGTTCCCAGAGGATGTCATCCATACAATCAAATCAACATGACCTGACAATTAGCACATACCTTAGTCAATGTAAGTCCAATTGAGGATTGTAGGGGTGCCTAAAATATAGATTAAACAAATGACGTCAAGGTAAAATAAACACATGACTGGACGCAAATGTTAAATGCGTAATGGTAGTGCACTTGCCATTTTCTGTGCCTTGTCCATTTCTAAATCTAGCTGTTTACATACTAGTAATTAGCACATACCTTAGGACATACATGTCCAATTGACCATTGTAGAGGTGCCAAAAATATTTAAATGACGTGCAGATAAAATAAATGCGCACAAATGTTAAGTGCGTAACGGTAGTGCACTTGCCATTTTCTGTGCCTTGCCCATTTCTAAATCTAGTTGTTTACATAATTAGCACATACCTTAGGCCATACATGTCCAATTGACCATTGTCGGGGGTGCCTAAAATATATATGTTAAATGACGTGCTTATAAAATAAACACATGAATGCGCACAGGAGCTAAGTGCGTAACGGTAGTGCACTTGCCATTTTCTGTGCCTTGCCCATGTCTAAATCTAGTTGTTTACATAATTAGTACATACCTTAGACCATACAGGTCCAATTGAGCATTGTAAAGGTGCCTAACGTATTTGTTAAATGACGTGCAAATAAAATAAACAGCTCAATGCGCACAGGTGTTAAGAGGGTAACGGTAGTTCACTTGACATTTTCAGTGCTTTCTAACCATGTCAGGTACTTGTCAACGACTTGGAAGAATTTGAAAGACGGTAGAAATACCTAAGAAGTCAACCACGTAACTGGAAAGACAGGTTTCTTCAACTGAAAGCAAATGGCCCGATGAGGTTCCAGAATAAAATACATGGGATGTCTTTTTATGCTCAGAAATCAGATATCCAAACGAAAAAAAAAGTGTCTTAAACACTATGTAAAAGCTTGCAAAATCACTGGTCATCATTTGAAGGCATTTTCAGCATTGTTACGCACTCAAATCAGAGCAAATGGTGCTTGTAGTTTACTTATTTCAACAGTACAACACGTGGGATGTCTTTTCATTGAGAAATCAGATACCCGGACGACAAAAAACGCGCCCGAGGCAGTTGCCAAAAGCTTTGTAAAATCACTCTCGTCAAAGACATTTTCAGCATTGTTACGCACTCAAATCAAAGCAAATGGCGCTTGTAGTTTACCTGTTTCTACAATAAAACAAGTGAGATGTGTTTTCATTCAGAAATCAGATATCCGGCCGACAAAAAAGTTGCCCAAGGCAGTTGGCAAAAGCTTTGGTAAAATCACTCGTCGTCAAAGACATTTTCAGCATTGTTACGCACTCAGGTTTGCCTAAGACAAATATCTCCCAAGGTTTTTCGTGACTGGTGGAGCGACCCAAGAGATATCAGACGACAAAATGGTTTGCTGTTCTGTTGTATTGTTTCCTTGGTAACCGCTGTGGGTGTTAATTAGTCACTCTAATTGCGTTACTCGCGGCTGTCAATCTTCAAATGGTCCATTTGGGGAAATGTGTCCTGCTGTGACGTAAACAGTGTGCTGACAACAGACGTGTTTTTTGTACCTTACAGTACGTGTGTTTGAACCACGTGCAAGTAGGTGGTCCTAATACAACACAGGACGTAAGGCGACGAGTAGACAACTTGTTTTCGTGTGGCACACACACACACACGCAGAGAAAGCCAGAAGTCTACATCGAGAATTCCGACAACTTGTTCAACAACAGCGAGCTTCTTGGAAGGTAGGTCAATTTGACTGGTCATTTTACGAAACATTGCTTCCTATATTCCGACAAAAGCGTTATCATATCATATTCTAAAGCTAATAATCTGCCAAGTTTGTAGTTCAGGCAAAGTAGAGGACAAGGTACATTTTACTGTAGATTGCCCTCGTATGATGGCGGAAGAAGAATTCTTTTCGATTAAGTTTAAGCAAATTTGACCTATTTTAGGTATTTGAATAGTACAGAGAAACTTATTTCCGTACAGCCTTCGATACAGCCTTTGTACAACTCCAATCATACAGCCACTTACATTTATACAAGTACCAAGAAGCGGGAGGAAGTCGAGAGTACTTGTTTATATATATATCTACGTACATTGCATATGCTTGTTAACAAGAGACCTGTGCTCACAAAATCATCTCGTTATCTTATAAAGCATTGTGTTCCATTTGCCCAGTTTTCTGTCGACCATCTCCAAAGTTAATTACCTTGTTGATATACACAGTCACTCTTTACACGAAAGGGTCTTCGCAGGTGTTTCTTCCTATCGCTAACCTATAGGTCACCTACAGAAGTGCAGACGTCCTGTATTGTCTCAATGATATATGTTGGACATAATGGACATTGACATGGTAAATCATCCGGAATGAATGACGACCCATTTTGCGTTCCCTGTCAATGAGAGAACAATAAACCCTGGTGAAAAGCTGGTGAAGTTCTGGGTTCGAACCCCTAACAGGTCCCGTTGTTGTGTCCTTGGGAAAGGCACTTGACGCCTATTTCCTCACTTGAATTGGGTGTCAGTATGTACCTAGCTTCGGTCAGAGAAGTCCTCTCGGATAGGACGTAAAGCTGGAGGTCCCGTGTTTGAGGAGAGCCAAACCTCAAACACATTAAAGATCCCACCACACTTTTGAAAAGAGCAGGGGTCCTTCCCGGTGTGAGTGGTTCAAACCGTACAGTCTGGTCTCAGGTTTGACATATTGAAATGGTAATAGTACCATGTTGTGCCAATCCTTCCACAAATGTGGTAAATCTTCAAAAATAGATTAATGAATAAAAGTCTGTCTGTCTGTATTCTGTCTAATCTCATGTTGAATTTCCGGAGGATTACGTTTATAATTGATGTAATTATCCATAGCTTAGGAGTGAAATCCTATATTTGTGCTCTATCCAATGTTAGATAAGCGAAAGGTAAAATGTTTTAACAGAATGTTTGAGAATAATCAAAGGGTGAAGCGATTTGTTTCTATCATTTCATGTAATGTTTTGCTTGACTCGCATATCTGCAAACAAAAGAATTAATGAATGAAGACCTTTATGGTACAATTTTCTAGTTGTTTATTTATTTATTTTTTAATGTTTTATATTTCTAACAATGTAGACCGACATGGGTATCATCACTTCAAAACCCAAGAAGCCGAAATATCGAGTGTCGGTGAAAACCGGTGACGTTCAGTTCGCCGGCACCGACGCTGACGTCTACCTGGCGTTCTACGACGGCCACGGCAAGCGTTCACGTGACGTCAAACTCGACGTGATCTGGCGTAACGACTTCGAACGTGGGAGCACCGATGTGTTCAAACTGGGCGACCTGGGATTGACCGGACCGATTCTTCAGATAGAGGTGTTATTTGTTCTTTATTTATTTATATTATAAACAGAAAAATGTATATTCCTTATGGAACCAGACAAGTATCGTGGGCCGTGTGGCGTAGCGGCAGAGTGCTCGGCACAGATCCAAGAGGTCCCGGGTTCGAGTCCTGACATGCCACCGATCTTGTGCCCTTGGGAAAGCCATGGTAACTGATGTAACCCAACACCAGTTACCATGGTGACAGACGTCTGGTTCAGGTCATTGACCTCATTTGTTTGGAGAAGAAGAAGAAGGGGAAAATAGAGCAAAAACAAGATGTTTTCCTTCGGTTAACATAATAACAAAAAGTGAAGTTTGTATATCAATGTTTAAAAAATATTAAAACGTATTTATCATCACAGGTGTGGCGGGGGCCTCTTCCTGACGACTGGTACGTGGAGAAAGTGGAGATAGAGAGAATGGGAGAAGGAGAAACAGACGTGTTCCCGGTGCACAGGTGGATCAGGAAGAACACGCGGCTGAAGCTGACGAGGTGGGACTCCCTCCTGCCGCAGTTCGACCCGAACATCGAGCAGAGACGGCGGGAGTTGGAGGAGATGAAGGCCGACTACGAACTCATGGTGCCCCAGGAAGGGCTGCCTCCTAAGGTAGGGGTCCTGCACACTGCACATATTTCTCTGTTAGGCCACACTGTGTTAATTGTATGGATGACATCCTCTGAAGCCCCCTAAACTAGTGCCGAGGGAGTTTTGCCACGGAGAGAAAGAGAAGTTTTAACTTGTTGGAGCGGGAAACCTTCTCTCCGTGGCATATTACTGGCGTCGCTCACAGAAAAAAAAATAACGCCGACGCCCAACATGTCTGCGAAGGCTAAAGCTGGCATATGCTGGGATTTTGCGGCATTTATGAGTCAGCACTGTGCTGTGTTCTTGAGTTCCGTGGAGCGTCAGCAGCCTGGGTGTCGTCCTCCGTTGCTACCGCCGGTCCGCTATTGCCGCTAGCTACCGTGGACTACGGAGGATGGTACCCAGGCCAGGGCCTTGGAGGAGGTAATATGGCATCGACCGTTTCAAATGTCAATGACCGTTTAAAAGACGGAAACTCGGGTCAAAGACACGTAATCCCCTCGTCACAACAGTCTATTGTACCCGCCAAGGCCGGGATAAACCGATTTGTTCCGCCTCTGGCAGGATAACGTTAACTGTGAAGGTCGACACAAATTCTTCAAAAACTTCCTTGTATACCTACCATATTTTGGGTATTCGCCGCCTTAAAGTCCATGTTTTGAATACACTGGTTTAATCGGCCTACAGGCCGTTTTTCATTGAAGTAATTAGGGAAGAGGTCATCGGGTCAGTCATAGACCATCTTCTCTATCTGTATAGCTGGTATAACCGCCCTTCGGTGTAACACACCAGCTAAGTATTAAATAAGAGTAATACTATTCTTTTTTTTACTTTCCATCTACTCCAGGTAAAGAATCTGCCACCTGATGAGGACTTTTCTGCTGACTATAAGGTACTTGGTTGCCCCATTTGTTGTCTATCAAGTAAAGTAAAGTAAAAAGATAATCCGGCAAACCTATCTAAAAATTCTAGCGCACAATGTCTAAAATACATCTTATGTCTTATTGTGTGACCAGTGGAACGTTGCTAAGCGACGTGTAAACATCCGGATGCAGCAGAAGATCAGCAGTCTGACCGCCGGAAGGTTCAAGACCCTGGATGACCTGAGAGACGTGTACGACGGGGTTCTGGGAACACCTAGGGTAGGCCTGTGTTCTTAACGTGATTAACCACACAGGACGTCAAACCGCTATGTACGAGTATCATAATGAAAAGGATATTGAACATTTCTACTTCTATTTGTACTTGGTACGTCCTGTCTTGGTGACGTCTATTTATCTAACAACAACAACAATATGACATACATCCTAAATTTTGCCATAACATCGGTGTCATAAAGATTTGATGATTCAAAATGTATTGTATGCTTTGGTCATAAAGATTTGGTGATTCAAAATGTATTGGATGCTTTGGTTTTGATACGAAACGTAATGACTTTTTATGAATTTCACACGTGTTCAGGGCGTGGCAAACTGGCGGGATGACCGAGAGTTCGGGAGGCAGCGTCTGTCTGGCTGTAACCCCAACAGGATCGCACTGTGCACCGAGATACCCAACAAGTACGTACGGTCATCCAACTACGAGGATATATCCTAACACGCCAGTTGACAGTTCAACGTGTACACGGGCCTTAAGCATTTTGTAGTTAAACTGTAGGCTTTTTTTGTACTGAAAAGTCTTCGCAAACTGTATACGCCAAACCTGACTAGACAGCTAGTTATACTCCGTTAGTTTTTGCATTGCGTTTGCCGAATTTATTACTGAATTGTACTAACAGATACATACTTTCATGTACGCTATTCAGAACGTTCACTGCTCGTTCCACTTTTGAGAACTTATCAGCGTGCCACTAGGTTCTCCTCCAGTTCACATTGTCACACTATTCAAATTCCTGTTTAAAGTCCTAAATGTACAGCAACAGCTTCCTTCCCGGGCTGCAAAATTATGGACCTCCCTCCTTGCTTCCCTTCCGAATACAATCCTTAAGCTTTTGAAACAAACATTCAGATTGGCATAGTCATATGCCTGTCCTAACACTTAGCTCAGTGCTTAGAAGTGGTCATTTGACTTTGCATTAAGAAGCATCGTTAGGCCACACCAATTTAATTTGTTGGTTCTCGGATTCGCCTCTTCGTTTTTCTCTGATTTGCAAAAAAAAAAAATATGATTCTGGTTCTGCATCAACTCAAATATGCTCATATTTTGCCCCAAACAGTTGAGGAAAGTCCCTTTCTTCCTAGTTGTTACAGTTTGCCCATCTATCATTACAGTGGTTTGATTAAAAGTTCAAAATTCATTGTTTAAATTTTAACCCAGCCTTTTGTGCTGACTTCATGGCTCATTTCGTAGCATTTAAGCCTTTAATAGGATGCCTAGACCTGTTTTTTTTTCGCCCTGTCGCTTCATATTTTTTCTGAAAAAATCCGAGAACCAAGAAATTAAATTAGAAAACAAAAGTGCCAACTGTATTTTCCCATCAGTTTCGCAGTGACCGGTGAGATGGTGGAGCCGTTCCTGGAAGGCCGCACCTTGGATGACGCGCTGCAGGCCAGGAGAATCTTCATCGTCAACTACAAGGTCATGGAGGACCTTGACCTTGAGACCTCAGATGGCAGACAGGTGAGTGTGCATCCTTGATGATTCAAACCTATTTTTCAAGCCTTTTTTTCCTACCTGTATCTGTATATGTTTCCTACCTGTATCTGTATAAATATATTATGCCTTCCCACAGATGTGCTGTCCCATGTGCCTGCTGTACTGGGGTGTTAATGACGACCTGTACCCCATTGTGTTCCCCCACAGCTGTGCTGTCCCATGTGCCTGCTGTACAGGGACGTTAATGACGTTCTGTACCCCATTGTGTTCCCCCACAGCTGTGCTGTCCCATGTGCCTGCTGTACTGGGACGTTAATGACGTTCTGTACACCATTGTGTTTCCCCACAGCTGTGCTGTCCCATGTGCCTGCTGTACAGGGACGTTAATGATGATCTGTACCCCATCGCGATTCAGCTCTTCCAACATGGCGATCAGAATCCGGTAAGACATGCTACCAAAAAAAACATTAATTACCTCCATGAAATGTGTCATGGAGGTTATATTTACCTCCATGAAATGTGTCATGGAGGTTATATTTTCAGTTGCGTTTATCTGTCTGTCCTTCCGTCTGTTGGTCAACAAGATAACTCAAGAACGCCTGGATGGATGGGTTTCATACTTGGTGTGTTGGTAGGGTGTGACGAAAACTGGAAATGATGAGATTTTGGTCCCCCTAGTGGCTTCCCTTGGTACTGCAGCGCAACTTCCGGTTTTGATATCTCACGATCTGGACATGCTAGGGTCATGAAATTTTGATGGAAGGTACAGTACCGTTCGCGTTATAGTTACCCTAACGGCCGTTACTAACGCGTTTTTTTCCCGTTACTTTTCCGTTACTTTTCCGTAAGTTTTCCGTAACTTTTGCGTAAGTTTTCCGTTACTTTTCCGTTACTTTTCCGTTAGACTTCTGCATTCATATGCAGGCCGCGGTAACATCACAGAATAATGGGAGGAGTACTAATTTACCTCATGCGGGGCGGGAAATTACCGATACACACCGCTGGAACAGCGGAAGGAACGTTGATCTAGCCTGCATTTTACTATATTGTAACGTTTAAAACGTTTTACGATCACCGGCGCAATTCAATTAGATAGACATTTTCTTTTGTCACTGTTGCCCAGGCAAGCGTTTCTATAGTTTGTCAACTTTGTTTTGCTGTTTTTCTCTGTTAACTTATTTTACCACCGAATAAGCAAACCTAGATGATCTGAAGTTATAAATGCCCCAGTCCGCCGTACATAATAGGCGGCGGGCGTGAGGTAACGTTAGGGATGTGCAAAAACATCGTGGAAAATTCCTATAACACTCGAAAAAAGGCAGCATATTTACACGTGCCCACCAACATTTTTATGGCTAATTATTGACCAGTTTTGGGGAGTTTTGTTATGTCCTTGGAGTTTTGTTTAGAGTGGGACGGAAAGCCGTGCCGCCACTCCGACTCCATGCACTTCCGTGTTACATTACGTTGTATGTGACCAACAAAATTACGCCAAAGGCACCACAAATCCACATGTACATATATTTTTTTTCCCGAAAATTCTTTTGAGTACGCATTTCGTCACTAGGATGTTGCTAATTAGTCGTAGAAATAAGGTAGAAACCAGCGTAAATGTGGCTCTCTCGAGATCATTTCGCGCGGGGAAGGGCGCCCCAGCATGCAACGGGCTTCGTTCTAGCCAATCACAGCGCAGGTCATCTAAGGTGAACCAATCAGAGCGTAGCTACTTGCATATTATAATGAGCATGCTGCCTGCATCTCAGGGCGGCCGCGGCCATGGCGACCGGCCGTGAGTGCGCGGGAAATGTGTTTTGCAACTATATTTTTACGGGGATTTTCTGACGTTTGACGCTGACTTTGGCACGATATGATCGCACTACCATGTACACGCTACCGTAGGCGGCAAATGAGTGGTCATTTTTATATAATCGTCGAGAAATTTTGGCGTTATGCACCCGGAAGTGAGCCGATCTCAGTTTGCGTTCCCTCGATTTTTGACAGTTTCCCCCCTCAAAATAAGAAACAAACTACCGCTATTAAATAGAACCATGTATTACAATTATCATTTCAACATGATAGATCTATTATATATTCCTTTATTAACTATGATATCATCATGGTTGTGGAAAGTCCTCAGCTGGCGAACCGAGTCCTTGCGCCGGGAGTGACGGTACATTTTACCGTGAGTATTAAAGCCGCTAGTACTAGTAAGCCGCGCGCCTTACAAAAATTATAATAATTTTTCTTTTGTGTCAAAAACCGCCGTGAATTTAAGGCATGAGTTAACGATTTATATTTCTTCTACGGCAGATATTTCTTGTTTCGTCACGTCCCATGACGTCCTGTGAGAGCGGTAGGCCGCCGCTGGTACAAAATGTACAAGACATCGTCTGCCCACTGCTACACTTTGTTGACACACATTGTATTACACAACGTAATTTTCCGCTAGAAATAACTATAGAATAGCATTAAAAGATAGCACAATTCGCTTCACACAGTCGACACATGGATAAACCACAAAGTTATTTTACGAATCACATGTCCACTTGCCTCTGGTGCTGTTATTTTTCAAGGGGCAACATCGCAACACATTAGCGGACGCCCCAGGAGGTGGCAAATTGCTATTGTCTTGTAGGCGCGCAAAACAAACATGAAATCCGACCCTATCACATTAACGCAAACGGTAACGCGTTAGAAATAATTTCTGACGATTTTCTAACCATTTTCTGACGAAAATCTAACCAAATACTGACGATTTTCTAACCATTTTCTGACGAAAAAATAACTCGTTAGTAACGGGGTACCCGGTTAACTATAACGCGAACGGTACTGTAGCTCTCGTGCTTGGAAAGAAGTCATATGAGTTTGGGCCCCCTAGCGGCTTGTTCTGGAACTGCAGGGCACTTTCTGGCGAAATGTTTAAAAGCCAATAAGTCCAGACAGGAACAACATATTTTCATTATTTTTGGTGTGAAGGTAGCTGAGAGAGAGATGTACATAATTAAATGTAAATTATGCAAATGAGGACTTTATTTGCATAATTAATTAGGAAATTCTATAATCACAGTGTTTTACATTATACTATGTAACCTATGGCAGGCGGAACTTCAACAGATACTAATTATGCAAATGATGACCTAATTTGCATAATTAATGTGAAAATTCTATGATTTCGTAATGGTGAATGATGAGAATGTCATACTTGGGACATCTGTAAATTAATCAAAAGTTAACATACATCACGATGCATATATCATGTTAATGCAGAGGTCATTTGAACAATTAAAGAAGAAATTTACATTTACATATCAAGATCATATTTCATGGAGGTATGAAATCTCGGAATTCTAGTTTGTACATATTTTTTAAGAAGACGATATGATATATAGTATTGCTTTCTATGACACGAATTTACAATGACTAGAAGCCAGCAAGAATTCATCAGAGATGTTTTCCTTCTGACCTAGGTGTTCCTTCCATCCGATCCTCCTTACACCTGGCTTCTGGCTAAGATGTGGTTCAACAATGCAGACGCCTCCTTCCACCAGTCCACTACCCACATCGGTAAGACATAGATGTACATCTTTAATACTTTTTAAAGAGTTGTTTTCTAGATTCCTAGATAAGATTCTGTGATGTACAAAATGATCAATAAACTGGTATATGTACCAAGTACTAAGTACCTAATACCAGCTCAGAAAAGAACAAGAAGTAGTGACATGCCTTCAAGTACCAGAGATATCAACCAAGGATTGAGGTGTTCATGAATTCATTCTTTCTTAGAACTATCGCAGACTGGAACTCGCTGCCACCAAGTACAGCGGGGGCATCATCACTTGATAGCTAAATTGTACACAGTGTTTAGACTTAGATGTTCAAAGGTTAGGTGTAACAAGTTGTTGGGTGTAATATAGCCAGCTGCCACTGCACCATGTGCCTGTAAAGCTGGTGTGTTACACAGAGGAGCAGTTATCCCGTCTATACAGAACAGATACAGATACATAATATAGATTCGTGTACTAAGATTCATTGTAGCTGGACACTGTTTTACTTTTGTACTAATGTTCTGTGATGTGGTGCTGTAAGTCCACAACAGTAACACTAACAGCCTGGTACTATTTGTCCCCATAGGTCTGACTCATCTCATGGCCGAGCCCTTCGCGGTTTCTGCTAAAAGGCAGCTGTCACGGTCCCACCCACTATACAAGCTCATGGCGCCGCATTTCATATTCCTCATCCCCATCAACTTGTGAGTTCTGTCCTATATATTTACATGTGTTTGTCACTTGCTGCTATTTGCAAGGTTCTGGTCTGATTCCCATCCTTAGCCTTAACCTTTTCAGTTGGTTCTGTGACGGACATAAATCAACTTAAAAGCATTTTTGTCTAACTCAGTATTTCATCAGTCACACATCATCACTTTCACGGTGCAAATGATGTAAACCATCTGTCAACTTTTGCAATAAAGATTGGAATGCCACATGTAAACGCTATGTACTGCATACATGTATCTGTACAGTATACTCTATTTTGTCTGTTTCATAATGTCTTTGGATTGTTATTGATGAAATGTGCATTTGTTTGTTACAGTAAGGCGCTTGCCACTCTGATGGCCCCCAATGCTTGGGTGGACGAGAACATGGGCATCGGTAGACAGGGAACCTACAATCTCATCAAGAAAGTGTACGTATTATTGCGTGACTCTGTGATACATGTACCTCTGTTTCTGTGGGGGGGGGAGGGGAGTATACATTGAATGTAATGTTATCATTCCTAAGTCATAGAATAGTCTCCACCAGACTCCTTTGCAGGCTAAATAAGTAGCAGAAATGTAACTGGCCAGGGGAGTTGGGCAACCATAGAGGGCCCAGTTTGCTGGCTAATTCCACTGACCAGTTACCAGTTTTTATGTCGATTTCTACAATTCAATCTGCCTGCAAAGCAGTCTGGTGGAGACTATACAATAGTAACCAAAAACATTTTACATCTTACATATTATATGAACATTTCCTATTCATATAAAACAGGTTTGCAATCAACCATATGGTAACGTCTTTTTTATCTTCTTTAGGTTGAAGGAATGGCGTCTTGATGTCCAAGGAACACTGCCAGCAGACTTAAAGGATCGTGGGGTAGGCTTCTGATTTTCTTATTCATGTTGTTCTTACTGCCATCATAGTTTAGTTAATGCTCAGAATTAAATTGATGAATGATCAAACCTTAAGCTTCACTTCACAATTTATTTGACAGGTCAATGTTTTTATGCCCTGCTTGTAGGTCGATGACCCAGGCATACTTCCTAGTTATTACTTCCGGGATGATGCAATCCTCCTGTTCAATGCTATCCACAAGTACATCAAGATGGTGGTAGAGGCAGTCTATGGTATGTAAAAGTTTGTGAGAGAAATTGTTGCAGTTTAATATGCTCAGCAAAATAATATCAACTTTTGCTATTAGTACAGCAATAAAAACGCATATATTGTGCAATTGTTACTGATAGTTCAAGGTTTCTGATTCACATGTACTGATTATCCCAGAGGCAGTTTATGGTATGTTTGATTCATAATCAAAAGAAAATTGCAGTAGTTCAATGTGCTCAGCAAGATAATATTCAACTTTTTTTCATTAGCACAACAATGAAAACATCAATATCTTTACAGCTCTATGACACATTGATGTATATGTTTTAACATTTATAGCTTTGCGGCTTTGTTCACAAAGCAATCATATATTAATTTTTTTTCTATTCCCCTGAAAGAAAAGGAAATTGGCTTTTTCTTACCACCAAGTTATCTTATGACTAGCTATGGTAGTCTCTACCAGAACCAGTTTGTCACTCTCTTAGTGCAGACCAACTCTTCTGGCATATCACCTGTCTATTTGGCAAATTTTGCCTTTTTCCAGCCACTTCCAAAGCCTCAGGCTACAGTCTAAGTCTAAGATAATTTGTAAAGATCAGAAAACAATAACCATGCCTATAATAAACTCATCTCAGGACTTAATGCTGTTAATACCTTCTGAACAGATGACCCATCCAAGATCACAGAAGACTATGAACTTCAGGCCTGGGCGAAGGAGATAGTTACACCAGCCGAGCAGGGAGGGTGTGGCATGAAGGTATACAGTCTACAGAATATCGATTCTACACTTTAATAGAGATCAACAGATACAAAACCCCAAAGCTCCTTTGCAGTACCATAACAAACCACCAGGGGGCCCAAAATCTGATAATTTTGAGGTCTCTTTAAGACCTATACCCACCTACCAAATATCAAGCCAATCCACCCAAGCCTTATTGAGTTATTGTGTTGACAAACAGACACACACACACACAAACGCCACCAAAAACATAACCTTCTAATGGCAAAGGTAAGCATGAAGTTGACTTTTAATATGTACTAGATAATGTATAGGTTTTATGGTGTCTGTATAATTTCTATAATACATATTGTATACAGGGCAGAGTTTGGGCTAACCAGGCCAGCAAGTAAATGTCATTTTCCCAATAAAGCTTTTTAACTGTATAGCTCTGACATACCTGATCCCCAGACAGAATAACATGATTGATTTACATCTACTGCAGGGTGTTTCTGGGAACGGAGAGTTCACGACGACAGACCAGATCGTTGCGGTAGTGACAGCGGTTGTGTACATCTGCAGTGCCGGGCACGCCGCTGCTAACTTCGCCCAGTATGACGAGTACGGCTTCCCGCCTAACTACCCCGCCTACCTGCACGGGGAACCACCCAGGGACAAGGTGAGTTACCGGTAAACCCCTGTCACACATTTAGGACCTTCCACTGAGGTCGTGTGGCAGTAGTGTGTTTGGCTCAGACCCAAGAGGTCCCGGGCTCGAATCCTGCCTGATGTCACCAATCTTGTGCCCTTGGGAAAGGCACTTAACGCGACTTTCCTCACTTCACTCAGGTGTAAATGATTACCTACTGTAGCTTTGGTTAGGGATGATCATGGAAGAAGAAGGTTGGCTGAAGTTCGGGAGAAGTCTGACCAGATTTAGTCCACCATCGAAGCGAATCTGAGTGAAATTTGAGTGCCAACCACAACCCAACCTACTCTCAAACATGAGCCAACCACTAAACACTGTGATTTTGTCATCTACATGTATATATTTATCTGTCCTTGCCCTATTTGCTCACTGACCTATAAACTGTGCAAGGACACTGCATACTGTCCTATTGTCTCTGAACTCTGTTTGACCCCTCTTCTGTCAATCAAAAATCATTCCACTCCACTTCAGATAATTGTGCAATTCTGAACCCATAGGTCCTGGGTTCGAATCTATCAAAAGGTCCCAATGTTGTGGCCTTGGGAAAGGAACTTTACACGACTTTCTTTGTCTTTGTGTGGGGTGAAAATAATACCTAGATTCAGTTAGTAACATCCCTAGGATAGGATGTTAAATGGAAGTCCCGTGTTTGGGGAGAGCCACACCCCATGGATGTTAAAGAGCCCACCACACCTTTCAAAAAAGAGTAGGGGCATGTCCAAATCATACTATCTGGAAGTTGGAGATTCACTAGGGACTCTGGGAAGAATTAGTTTAAAATTTACACTAATGCCAGTAATGGATATCCTCATAAAACAAAGGGTACCTCTAGATCTCCTGGACTATGAAATGTGTGAATGACCACTTGTATGAAATGTTGACCACACACTCAGGCACCGAGAACAGAGCAGGACATCATTGACCAGCTGCCGGACAAGAGTAAGACCCTGGAGATGATGGTCATCACACGGATGCTGAGTGACCGCAGTACGAATGGCCTGGGCAGTTTCGAGGTGGAGTACATGTATGACCCTGTGGGCACACAGGCTGTGGCACAGTGAGTACATGTCTTAGATACTTCTGAATGACATTGGGAGATATCATGCTATCAGTGATACCATGCCTTATGTCATATCCGGACATTTACATGCAAATTCTTCCTGCCTAAAGCACATTTTAAGAAATTCATCATCTCAGTGCCCTTGCAAGCAAGTTAACTCTCTTTTGTTTATCATATAACATTATGACCCCTTTTCTGCATATGTAGGTTCCGAAAAGACTTGGACGAGGTTCACGAAATCATCAAAGAGAGGAACAAGACCAGGAAACAGCCTTATGTGTATCTAGACCCACGGGAGGTCCCAAATGCCATCAGCATCTAAAACATGATGAAAATGTTATTTTATAAAGTATAGGACTCATATACATGTGTATAGGACCATAGTTGGACAATGTACAGCTTTGAATGCTGTACATACATCATATTATTCACATAAGAAAATAAAAATGCACTGAGTATTTTATACTTTAGTATAATAGTTCAGGCAGAACCGTAGACATTACCTTTAGCCATTATATAAAATCTTTGTATCTGGTCATGTAATTTCTAACTGATGTGATTTGTAAATTGCAGTGCTAGTGAACAAAATCATGCTAATCTGACTGGATGGATTTAGTTTGTAAGCTTCAATCATAATAAAGAAAGTATTATGTAATCTGAAATTATCATTTCTTCCTGAAATTCCATAGACTGATGTGAGAGTGTGAATTGAATAATATATTACATTCTACAACTGGATCAGCATATTTCAAATACATAGTAAGAAGAATAATCATAATTACTTATTATTTGTCAGATGAGATTACTTTATAAGCCAGTAAGACATCATAACAAACTTAAGTGAATGAAACATCACTTGAGATGTGATCAAAACTGCCTGAAAATAAAGGCCAGTCAGCACAGTCACGTTCAGTGGGAATGTATCATGTCCTTTATTGATAAGAAGTAAAAACTTTAAAGAGTAAAATCATTAAAAATTGCAGTTTCTCTTATTGAGATCATCCTGTATAGACAAATCATGCTTGTACTTTTATAATGACAGTATTGTAGAATAGGCAATAGGCACTAATTATAATCTCATGCAACATTTAAGTAGCATTCAACAGTGTCAAGCTTTGCAGAGTTTCACCTCTATATTTACAGAACTTCCAAATTGTTATCTACATGCTTCCACGCTGCAGTATAAAGGTATGCTACCAGGATTGTTTGAAAGGATTGAAGGATTGAAAGTCTTTTAAAAGGTGCTGATTTTTCTATGATCAGTCATTTCTTAGGCCAGTTATGCATAATGATGAATATTATATCTTTGCCTTTTTCTTGATGGATGCAAAAATTGTTTACCATCCTAAGTCCTATACAAAGCGCATTGTGCATATTGTGCTGTATTTCGAGCCCTGTATCAGTATGACAACCCTTACTATGTGACCTCTCTATGTGGCTGTCTCCTTCTCAATGCTGGGGTCAGCCTGTGGAATGGGAATGACCCTTGACCCGCCATGGTCCAGTGTGAAGAAGTCCTCGACCTTTAACCCCTTGGCCTCCATGGCTTCCTTAACCTTTGACCTTGGCTCCAAGTAGCCCTGTAAGTAATTCAAAGAAGCAGTGAACACTTCAGATTCAGATCTAATAAATATATCAGTTTAAAGGGAGTCAAATAGCCAAGCGAGTGGATAGCGGACATGGGTTCCATTCAGGCACCCATTTTTCAGGGAACTGCAGCAACAAATCCCATCTGTCAACCTTGACTGACAAAACTGACAAAAATCTTGGGAAGAATTTAAAAAAAACAGGGAAAGGACTACAAACAACCACTCTCAACCAAATGGCTTGCCTGCCAAGTGTGGAAATTGCATTTTTAAAGGCTTGAAAATCCAAAATTTGCCTGACAGAACCCCCTATAGATTGCAAGAACTCTCCTGCAAGTTAAATTAAAGGCATCCAATGCAATCTCAGGGCAACCGTTTTCTGTCAGTGACATCAGATTTTGCCTCACAGATATCAGTAAACTATCAGATTGGTTTGATCCAAATAACATTACATCAAAAGAATGACCAAAAAATTGACTTCAAAAATCCAGTTTTGTTGCCCTGAAATTGCATTTGGAAGCCTTTAAATCATTACAGCCCTGTACCTCGAATGATGTGGAAATGAGTTTGAAGGTTCCCCAGTGGATGCCTAGTGACATCCTGGCCTCAACATCCATGTGAATCTGAACAGCTTCTTCAGGACACACATGTTGGCTCTTCATAAACCACCTGGTGATGTATATTCTCATATCATTACATACTGTGGTATAGCTATGGGGTGTTTGCATTCATGTGACTACTTGACAAGTGCTGTCTGCCATGCTGGATAATACAGTAGTTAAAATTGAAAGTTGCCAGGTAAACTTGAATTTGTACATGTAGTTAGAGTTACAAAGTAGTTGCATAGTCCAGTGGCTACTAACCTAAGTGCTTGGGAGTTTAAATCCTGGCTGTTGTTGCCATGCCATTAAGCCATGGTCCACTGTTCATTGTGCTTGTCGAAAAGAGCTAGGGGAATTTCTCCTGGGTACAATGAGTGTAAATACTGTACATATAGCATCTGTCTTCTTTGTCATGACCAGTGGGATATTAGCTCTTCATTTAGCTAAAACTTTCCTTAGTCCTTAGTTACGTAGAAGTTTGACTCTTCCAAGTTCAATCTACCAGCATGGCATCACAAATGCAAACACCCTATAGCAACAACACTATAAAATCAAGGGAGAAACACTATACATACTGTACATGGATTTCTTTGGTCTGATACATCCAACCTCTGAAGACATGTGCAGATTCAACCAGGAATTCAAATTCCACTTTTTGGGCATCTTTTCATTGTGCTCCAAATACACATAAAGCCAGATTGATGGAAGATACAAGTTATAATGTTTCTCCTTTGATTTTACGAGTAATTTTCTTGTTTTTCGTTCACCTACCTCGAAGGTAAGTTTGAAGGTTCCCCAGTGGATCCCCAGGGACTGTTTGGCCTGGACATCCTGGTGAATCTGCACAGCCTCTTCTGGGTTCACGTGCTGATTCTTCATGAAATCTCTGGGAAATGATTTTCAGAAAAAATAAGACCATCAGTCCAAATTTAGATGAAATGGTAAGACGATACAATTTAGGCATTGCAAAATACAATTTAGGCATTGCAGAAAAACCACATTTTGGGTTACTATAACCAAAAACGGTCATGACAGTTCATCTATGTTGGTAGTTACAACTTACATGTTTAAAATTAAAACTTTTGTTCCAATGCAATGAATTGTTTTCACCTAGAGCTTTCTATCAGTCACTCTGATATTCTTCCTTAGACTGACCCAGTGAGACATTGTTTACCAGATACCTTTAACCCAGTGTTGACGTCATACTTCAAAGAAGCCATGTGACAAGTCTCACTGGGTCAGTCTACCAAAGAAGACCAGAGTGACTGGTCGAAAGCTCTAGGTGAGAACAATTATCTCTTGTATTGGAACAAAAGTTTTAACTTTAAACATAACCAAAACTCATTTCAAAGCTAGACTTCTCCTACAATAACAGGTTTCGGTAATTTTTCAGATAATACTTACCTTGGTTCATAGGCTCCTATAGGAATAGCTGCGAGGTTGAACGGACCATACTTTTTCCCGATCTCCTTGAAGCCGTGACAGTACCCTGTGTCTCCGCCAAAGAAGAAGCGAGACCTCCGTCCAATCACGCACCAGCTCCCCCACAGGACCAGGTTGTCGTCTGTCGGACCGCGTTTGCACCAGTGCGCCGCGGGCGTGAGCACGACTTTGATGTCGTCGCGGTCCTTCACGCGTTCCTCCTGCCACCAATCCTGTTCTACCACGTTTTCACACCCGATGCTCTTCATCCACGGCGACAAACCCAGTGGCACGTGCCAGCGCAGTCTCTCCCCAAACCTCTTGTGTAAGTCCTTAACCGTGTTATAGTCTAGGTGATCGTAGTGGTTATGGCTGATAACGACCACGTCAACATCGGGGAGGTCCTGAACGCTACACGGAGGACCGCGGTATCGTTTCGGACCCATGAACTGGAACGGTGCGGCGCGCTGGCTGAAGATTGGGTCGGTGAGAACGCTGATGTTTTCGAACTGAACGAGAACAGAGGCATGGCCGAGCCATGTTACCTTCATGCCATCCTCTGGAACTGGGCTGCTGAAGTCTGGTGTTACTACAGGAAGGGTGGTGTCCAGGACCTGGAGTAACAACAGGGCTCAAATTACCCCTTTAATTCACCACTTTGTGCAAGTGAACTTGCACATGATTTTTACTACACTTTCACCAGCTTTACAGACTAGAAATATCCAGTAAAGGTATGATGGAATTTAAAAAAAACAGTGATTCTATTTGACATTTTGTATATCATGTAGAAATGCATCTATCAACTAAACTGTTGGTTCCCCTGAGGTATCAAGCATAGTTCAAAAATGCTGACAGTTGTCCCTACAGCCCAACGGTACAAATAATATGGAAGCCCACACCTACATGTAATACAATATACTTGATGGATAATATATTTGTTTTGCCACCTTGAAATTCCATTGGATGCCTTTGAGTTTTAGCCTGGGTACCATCCGGATTTTTGCTACGCAACGCTCAGATAAAATTTTTTCAAGCGTTGCGTAGCAAAAATCCGGATGGTACCCAGGCTATTTGAGTTTAAGAACTTACATCCTGTGAAGGTATGTTACTGTGGTCCCCAGACCCTGTAGCAAACTTCCACATCATTTTCATCCCTTTAGTTCCCGATGGGAAGCACCACTCAGGCCACGGGTTAACAAACCTGGTAGAGAAAAGAAAAAAATCAGTAGTCAGTGCCTACATCTACAAAGCCTAGTATCCAGTCTATTGCGGTTGGGGCGATTTCTCTTCGGGGCTGCAGGAGCTCTTCCCCGCCCGACTCAACGAGGGTCCCTGGTAGGTTTTGCACAACAGGAGTTAAATCAAACTAGGACTAATCGACTCCTGGTGTACAAAACTCTACTGGCAAAGCTCCTACAGGCAAAACACTTGCACCGTGCAACGTTTTGAGCTGGGAAATTTTAGATCCCCGAAGACATCCTACCTCAACCACAATAGACTGGATACCAGCTGCAGGCTAACATCTACGTGCTTACCTGCTGACTGGGAATAGAACTCTGGTCCCCTGAGCCTGTGGTAAACTTCCACATCAAGTGGAACATGTTTGGTGAGCCTGTAAAGGAGGGCAGGGCCCAACCTGGCCAGGGGTTCACAAACCTGAGGGACACAGACCAACCGTCAGGCTTTTCTAATAATTACTGACTCTATGAAGTATGATCTATGAGTATGACTATATGAGGTCATGTTGATTTGATTATATGGATGTCATCCTCTGGGAACCCCAAAACTGATGCAAGCATTCAAAGAAAAAAAGAGTTTGGCAAAAAAAAAAGTTGCCTTCCTCATGAAATCTACATGGTCTTCAAGGTTGAACAAATGGCTAAACACACAGAGTATGGTATGGCATATAGACTTCATATTCATTTCTTTGTGTTTTTTTTTCTTTACTTTGGACTTGATTTTGGCATTCTATGACACATTGTTTTCCAATATTTTTTGGGGACCCTTACCTGCCATTTTTGCGCATGGAGTGTGTGAGTCCATCACTACTTGTACTGGTAGCAGCAGCAGCAGCTGTGGCACCTTCTACTTCCACTGGACTATCTACTGTGGCCATTTCTTCCTTCTCAGGGTTCGAAAGCCCAACCTGTTCTCCCTGAAAGTGAATTAAGGAAATACCGAAACTGCAGTAAATCAAATCACAACTTGCGTTAAGTAAGCCATGAAAAAAAAATCCAGTGAAATTTTCAACATGTTAACTGTTATTTTTAACAACTAATATTTTTATTGTTCGACTTATGAGAACAACGTCATGGATAAATACTTCGATGTTTTGAATATGTTCCTGCCACAAAAATACCTAAAGCTGAATAAAGTACCCAAGTGACGGGTTCCTTTTCAGAACTGGGTGTACAGTGAGGCCGCTTTCATCATTGAGTGGCGCTTAGCACTAGAAAACGAGTGCCGAGACAAGATTCAGGTCATGGCCTCCCAGCAGTATGGCGTTCTCACGGAACTTCAGCACTGGAATAAAGCCGTTCAGCACTACAAACCCGGAACCCACTACTTCGTTACCCTTGCATGAATAGGTACATAACTTGCTTATAGTTATATACAATTTATCTAATATCCTTTACGTTTCGCTTTCTTTAGATTACATGCTGCGTCATAGCACGGCTTTCAGCTCAGTTTCGCCAGTTTCTCCACCCCCCTCCCCCTTCCGTGTTCCCTACCCAGTCTCTCCCTTCTGTTTACATACGATTCCAAGTAAAAGGCGTGGTGACTTAGACAATGCACTATCTAAAAACACCTTACCTGTTCAAATCTTGGATGCGCTGTTGTTTAACCTATATTTATAGCCACTTTCTCCTTCGTTTCGTAACATCACCCGGTCGGTCACCAACCTGAAGTAGGCCGCCGATTCGTAGCCGCCCTTTCAGCCGCCGATTCGGGACTAAACCGAGCATAGCAGCTAATTCAAATACAGATTCGAAATCCCAGAAATTTCCTAAATCGACCCCAAAGAAAAATCACGAATGGGGAACTGTTGCAAATGGTCTGTAATAACGCATAGAATATCAATTCAAAGATGAATATAATCATAAAGTACCAATTAAACGATAAAGTGCAAATTAAAGACTTAGAAACGACACCTAGCGACAATATCATAATCTGCTGATGCTGGCGGCCGATTCAAGTGAATGGTCTCCACCCTCAGGTGTTAAACACCTTGCGTCAGATTAAGCACATAATTCTATAACTCGTAATGACTTTCCATCATTTTATGATGATCCATACTTTGGTGTTCTAGTAAGAAAAGTAACGCACGCTACGTCATTTTGACGTCATGTCGTCTTAAACTGAAGAACATGACGGGCAGTTGTACCGTAACTGGTCTCCACCTTTAGGTGTTTAACACCTTGTAGCAGAGTAACTATATAATTTTACAACTTGCAATGACTTTCAATCCCTTTATAATGATCCATACTTTGATATTCTAGTAAGAATAGTAACGCACACGACGTCGTTTTGACGTCATGTCGTGTTACAGCAACGAAAATGGCGGAAAGTTGTACCGTAACTCGTCTCCACTTATAGGTGTTTAACATCTTGCAGCAGGGTAACAATATAATCTTACAACTTACAATGACATTCAATCCCTTTATAATGATCCACACTTTGATCTTCTAGTAAGACAAGTAACGAACACGACGTCGTTTTGACGTCATGTCGTCTTAAACTGAATAGAAATGGTGGGAAGTTGTGGCAGTAGCTGGTCTCCGTTCTAGGTGTTTAACACCTTGTAGCAGAGTAACTATATAATTTTACAACTTGCGATGACATTGAATTCCTTTAGAAGGATCCATACTTTGATATTCTAGTAAGAAAAGTAACGCACACGACGTCGTTTTGACGTCATGTCGTCTAAAACTAAAGAAAATGGCGGGAAGTTGTACCGTAACTCGTCTCCACCTGTAGGTGTTTGACACCTTGTGGCAGAGTACCCATATAATTTTACAAGTTGCGATGATTTTCAATCCCTTTACAATGATCCATACTTTGATATTCTAGTAAGACATGTAACGCACACGACGTCGTTTTGACGTCATGTCGTCTAAAACTATAGAAAATGGCGGGAAGTTTTAACGTAACTTGTCTCCACCTGTAGGTGTTAAACACCTTGTAGCAGAGTAACCATATAATTTTAGAACTTGCAATGACTTTCAATCCCTTTACAATGATCCATACATTCTGTATCTGTATCTGTATAGCCGGTATGACCGCCTTTCGGCGTAACACACCAGCTTCGCAGGCACGCGGCGCGGCGGCAGCTGGCTATATTACACCGATCGACTTGTTACACCTAACCCTTGAACTTCTAGCTCTAGACATTGTTTAAAGCTATCTATTGACAATGCCCCTACTGTACTTGGTGACAGTGAGTTCCACTCTGCGATAGTTCTAGGAAAGAATGAATTCTTGAACACCTCAATCCTTGGTTGATAACTCTGGTACTTGAATGCGTGGCTATTTCTTGTTCTCTTCTGGGCTGGTATTAGGTACTTAGTAGTTGGGACATCCACCAGTTTATTAGTCATTTTGTACATCATGCATAGTCTAGACATCTTTCTTCTGTCTTCCAGTGAGGTCCACTGTACGTTTCTTTTCATTTCCGTGAACACTACCACCTCCTACATAGTTGTTCATAAAGAATCTTGCAGCTTGATTCTGTACCCTTTCCACTTTGTCTTTGTCTTTCTTTGTATATGGATCCCATACTGTCGCAGCGTATTCTAGGTTCGGTCTTACAAGTGACGTGTATGCAATTGATTTTACTCTAGTTGGACATGCCCACAGATTACGTTTAATCACTCCCAATGTCTGCTTCGCCTTAGTTGTGATATTATTAATATGTGCACCCCACTTCAGTCCGCTTGTCAGCGTGACGTCCATTGATATTCTAGGAAGAAAAGTAACGCACACGACGTCGTTTTGACGTCATGTCGTCTTAAACTGAAAAGAAATGGCGGGAAGTTGTGGCAGTAGCTGGTCTCCGTTCTCAGGTGTTTAACACCTTG